CACCTTGATCCTTCTGGTCATGGGGAGAGGCAGTTGGAGTTCACATCCTGCCCCAGGGACTTCTACCTCCTTGCTTTAGATATGCTGCTTGAGACCACTCCAGCCCAGGCATGTGGTCATGGTTTGGTTACATGAGCCAATATAGTCCCCACTGTTGCTGAAGCTGGTTTGAGTTTTGACTTCAACCTTCAGATCTGAGCTACTTTCTTAAATGATGCCTGTTCCTTACTCAAGAAAGATCAATGGCTCCAGATTACCCTCAGGTTAAATTCAAAAGTCAATATGGCCTTCAGAACCCTGACCTCTTTTTCCACCATGACATCCTACTGCTCCTTGGGCGTCTCCTTCTCTGAGGACACTGTGGATGGAAACGTCCTCTCACTTGGGGAACTGAGGGCTCCAAAAACGACTTTGTTAGCATCATCTCCTCTGTGTGAACTCCCTGGACTGCCAGGAGAATAAATCAGTTCTATTCTGAGCCACCCTCTCATTATTCCTCGGCCTCTTCCATTAGGCTGTGAGCCCCTTAAGGGCTCTTTGTCCACTGCATGTGGCCCAAGCCTGGCACAGTGAAGGCACCCAATACGTACTTGGTGTGGGTGTGGCTTGTCCTGCCTAGACTAGCACAGGCCTCTTTGGAGCTGATTTCAGACTCTGGGCCTAGTTCCCAGTGGGAGAGAAGGGCTGCTGCCTAGAGGAACCTCATCCAGGTCCTGAGATGACCCCAAGAGAGAGACCTGTGGGCGGGCTCGGGTTCATATCCACTTAACTAACCACAGGGAATCTCTGCCAGATCCTACTTCCACTTCTTTCCCAACAGGAGACCTGCTGTCCTCAGGTCCAGCTCCTGAAAGGAAGGCTGGGAAGAATGAGCCAGAGGCATGCGAAGCTACAGTCAGAAAGAGACAGGCGCAGAAAAGCACCCAAGAGATGGTCTCAGTTCAGACACACAAAACTTGAGACTAAGATGGCCACAGAGAGAAGACAAAGCAGACTAAGAAATTGCACCTGGACGGAGAGCTGCAAAGAGGTAGAATGGGGCAGGGGCAGGGGCAGGCTGGGAATGACGGATGCAGAGAGCATCTGAGAGGGCCCTCATCTCTGCTTGGGGTCCCAAGTCAGAAACTTGGAAGCCATCTCCCCCTTGCTCATCCCTCACTCCTCGAGCCCAACCAGTAGGCAAGACTTGTCCATTCACCTTCCAAAATGCATCTGGATTCTGCCTAGCCCTCTCCATCCCCACAACTACCATCATCTCCTTTCTTTATTAATGTGACATCTTCTGTGGGTGTCTCTGCTTCTTGCACAGCCTCAGTCCCAGTCTGCTAGTCAGCATGAATTTTCTAAACACATATCTGATGATGTCATCCCCACAGCCCCCAAAATAAAGCTCAGATGACTTGCCTGGCTTTGCTTCATCTGAGCCCTCCCCATCACCAGGTCTGGAAACCCCAGCCATCGCAGACTTTTCCCAGAGCATGTGCTCCCTTGCCTCTAGGCTCCTTCTACCTGGAATACCCATCTGTCCTGCCCCTTCCCAGTTCCCCTTTCCTCAAATCACCATCTCACTTTGATCTCAGGGTTCCTTTCTCAGGTGCAGACTCTCCTTAACCTCACCCCTCACCCTAGCAACCCCCAAGCAGTCTTACCCTAAGCCCCCACCTTTGAGTCCAACTGCCTCTCCCATATTGGAGCTCTACCAGACTCCAGGCTGGGCTGCCCTTACCAATTCCATTTTTCTACCTGATCCTGTCCTTGGACCCTTGGGGCCAGGCTCGCCAGTCCTAGTCTCATGCCCCCCTACTCTTGGCATCCCAATCTCTACCTCCTCACTCTGTAGCACATTCTTTCTAGAGTCGCAGTTCTTCCTGTATTTTTCATTTGTCTTAAAAAAAAAACTTATCCACTAGTTTTCTATTTAAATAAAAATTAATTTAAAAAGAAAACACTAAGCCTGTCCTGCACAGGTGGCACAAGAACACCATATGATGGGAGTTTGGAAAATGTGTCTTCCACAAGCATTTTGGTTCTCTATCAAGATCCCCTTGGACCCGTTTGACTGGCTCTGGACATCCCTCTCTGGGGCTTGCTGCACTTTAGCCTCCAGTGGCTGGCATCTGTCCCCAGGTCACTGAGGTCACTTTGCTCATATTCCCAGAGAGTCCCAAAGTGCCTGGAGGCTTAAGACCCCCACGGACAGCCCTTGGCTGGGACTGACATGTAAGAATGTGATGGCTCAACTCCTTAATCCTCATTCTGAACAACTCTGAGATCTCAGGGGCCTATAACAGAATCTTGCATATCATAGGTTGACTCAAGGCTGGGCACGGTGGCTCACACCTGTAATCTCAGCATTTTGGGAGGTCAAAGTGAGAGGAAACTGCTTGGGCCCAGGCGTTAGAGACCAGCCTGGGCAACATAGTGAGACCTTGTCTCTACAAAAAATTAAAAAAGTTAGCTGAGCATGATGATGCATGCCTACCTCTAGCTACTTGGGAGGCTGAAGCTGAAGGAGGCCTGAGCCCAGGAGGTCGAGGCTATGGTGAGCCATGATGGTGTCACTGCACTCCAGTCTGGGTGAGAGTGAGACCCTGACTCAAAAAAAAAAAAAAGAAAAATGGTGCTCAATAAATGTTTGTTGAATGAACAAATGTAACAAAATTTATCAATTTTATCTTTTGTAATGTCCAGAGTTGTCACTCTTAGGCCTTTCTCATCCCAATTAAAAAAGCATTTACCTATATTTGTTCTGGCATATTTGCTTATCTGTTTGTCAATTTTTTATATTTAATTATTTGATCCATCTTGAATATGCTGTAAGGACTGAGGTAAAGATATATTTTCTCCTCATGACTAATCAGTTGTCCCAACAATTTTTGAATCTTTCCTTCATCTGTAAAACCAAGATACGGTGTTATCTAAGACTCTTTCAGTGAGGTATTATGCAATAATTTATAATGGTAGTTATGGCGATTATGTCATCACACAGAAAAACACTAACTTTATAATTTTAGACATGGTTTTTTTATAGCTACATAAAAGTTATGTCAGCATACAAGCAAGGACAGAGAAACTGAGGCCATTAAAGATTGATTTAAGGGTGGTGAGAGGACTATATGTGATATTTTTCTTTGATTTCTGTTAATACTGATAAGATAGATAATAAACTGAAAACTTTAATGGAGAGGAACAAGGACTTAAAAGATAGCAAGTTGTTTTCTTACTTGAACCTGAGATGAAGTCTTGGGTAAAAGTTGGGTGTTTTTTTTTTTTTTGGAGATGAGTTCAGGAGGCTGAGGACGGTGGAGTATGCAGGTAAAGGAAAATTGTTACTGGAGAGACCAAATAGGAGAGATTCCACATATGAAAATCTGTACCACTGGGCTCTGAGCTTCTTCTCGGCCTTAGCTAAGTGAACAGAACCTCTGGAAGTAGCCACCCATGTACCCCCAAAAGGGATCCAGACCTCAAGCATGTGAATCAGTGAGTCCAGATGCTCCCAACATGTTGCTCATTGATGGACCATTCAGGATGCTTTATCAACCTGGCAGCAGAGATGCTGAACTCTGTGGTTATATAACAAAAACTATAGAAGAACCATATCCCCAGACCCTCCCTGCACAGCTGTCTCTGAAAGATCCCTCTCTGACCCCTTAGGATTCTGAAGTCTTTTTCAATATTCTTTGAGTTCACCCGGCCCTAGGCCAGCCATACCCTCATAACAAATATGAAGAGCATTAGAAGTTGGAACAAGGTAAGTCCTGAGTGCCACGGAATCGGAATCTGGTCTGTATTTGGGAGGGCATGGCCTGGAGCCTGGGCTACTTACACCAGGGCTTGTCTTCCTAACTAAAATGGCACTTCGCTTCAACCTTCATGGCTCGGCTGACCCAGGTAATTCACTGGGGCCCCAAGGTGCCCTTATTAAAGCAGCTACTCACGTGTGAGCACACCCCAAGTGCAACTGGCACCAGGTCCCATCAACATGCAGAGCCAGGATGCCATTTGTGGTCTTGGATTTGGGGGGAAGACGCCCACTTCTTGCCTAACGACTATCTCTTACAGCAGCTCCCCTGAAGTGCTTTCCCATCTGCCTTGGCCACAGAAGCCCGTTCCAGGGCTGTCTCCCCCACCTGGACCCTCACGGGGCTCCTCCTACAGAGACCAGCGTGGTCGGCTGACCGACCTGAGCCAAAGGCGCTTCCGGACGTGTCCTTTAAAACTCTGGAGGGGCTCACTGTTTCCCTGGTGAGCACGCGACCGGCTGCATTCCGATCCGGGCTCCAGGGGATGTGGAGAAGTGAGAAATATCCTACTGGCCTCGCCTGCAGGAAAGCAGTGCTGCCGTATATGCCCGCAAGGGCTGACGTGTGGGCTCAACCTGGCGGGCGGAGGCAAAGCGCGCCCCGCCGCCGGCCGCCCACCGAGCCCCGCCCACTACGTC